CGGGTTCCGTATGAACTCCGAAGTTAAGCGAGTTCGGGCTAGAGCAATCCCAGGATGGGTGACCCACTAGGAAGTTTTCGTGTGAGTTCCCATAAACAAAACCGTAAGGGCGTGGTCGGGGCCCAAAGTAGACAATATCGTGCTACGGTGGAGTCGAGCCCGGGATGTGGTGGGAGCCCGGGCCAGGATGTGACAAACGCCCTCACGGTTTTGTTTTTGGGAACTCATATGAAAACTTCCAAATTGTCATATACCGGAACAGGCCCCAATCACATCTCGAGCTCGACTCCACCGTAGCATGATATTGTCCGCTTTGGGCCCCGACCACGCCCTCACGGTTTTGTTTCTGGGAACTCACATGAAAACTTCCAAATTGTCATATCCCGGCGCGAGACCCAACCACATCCCGGGCTCGACTCCACCGTAGCACGATATTGTCCGCTTTGGGCCCTGACCACGCCCTCACGGTTTTGTTTTTGGGAACTCACATGAAAACTTCCAAATTGTCATATCCCGACGCGAGCCCCAACCACATCCCAGACTCGATTTCACTGTAGCACGATATTGTCAGCTTTGGGCCTGACCACGCCCTCATGATTTTGTTTCTGGGAAGTCACATGAAAACTTCCCAGTGGGTCACCCATCCTGGGGTTGCTCTCGCCCAAACTCGCTTAACTTTGGAGTTCTTACGGAATCCGAAACTAGTGAGCTCCCAAAAGGCCTCGTGCTAGGTAAAAATGAGAATATACATATAAGGCTTACAAGATCCACTCCCTTGGGCGATGTGGGATGTCACAATCCACCCCCTACCAAATTGTCACATCCCGACCCGGGCCCCCACCACATCCCGGGCTCGACTCCACCCGTAGCACGATATTGTCCGTTTTGGGCCCCGACCACGCCCTCACGGTTTTGTTTCTAGGAACTCGTACGAGAACTTCCCAATGGGTCACCCATCCTGGGATTGCTCTCGCCCGAACTCGCTTAACTTTGGAGTTCATATGGAACTCGAAGCCAGTGAGCTCCTATAAAGTCTCATGCTAGGTAGAGATGAGAATATACATATAAGACTTACAAGATCCACTCCCCTGAGCGATGTGGGATGTCGCATTTACTGTAATATTTAAATTTTCTCAATCAAATTGTAGTTTCTTCTCTTTGGCATATGCATGTATTTGTGCATAATGTGAACGAGCATGAAAATAAAAAAAAGTAAGGAGTTGTGCATAATTAAACTAGGGTTAATGAGTTTATAAAGGATAGTATTGGAAATAAAAGAAGTGAGGGCATAAAGGGAACAAAAATGTCATTCCGATTGCCAAAGTAATTAGGAATCCAAATACCATGTTAATCTAAGGAATCCAAATCCTCCAAATTTTAGAATTGAATTCCAAAATTTTGTGTGGATCTCACCTTTTCTTTTACTCCCCAAGTTTAGTAAACAAAGCTATACCCCGTAATCAAAATTCAATTCTGTATTTTAATTCCGATTACGGTTATGGAAATGTGTCCTTAGAGTGTTGTTTTTATCCCAGAAACGAATCCAAAACATATATTTCATTTTCCGTAGTTAATATACATTTAGTCTGATATGCTTTTTATTTATTCTGTTTAATACATGTGCTCCATTATTGATCACTTTATCTGTATATTATAGATCTCTTTTCTGTTGGATGTCTGTATATTATAGTTAAGGTTTGCTATTTCGCAATTCATTGCGGTTTGTAGGGCTGGACTAAAATGTTCATCAGGATGAAGCCAAGCACTCCACTGAAGAGGCGTATGAGTGCTTACTGTAGTGAACTTTCTGTTGCGCTCGACGATGTTATGTTCACGCATGGTGGCCGTAGCATTGGATTCGATATCACTCCAGATCAGGTCATCTTTCTACCTTTCTCTACCTACGTTATCTATTCTTTTATTCCGTGTGAATGTGGTTCGCACTGTTGAATTTTCGAATGGACTCAAAATCTTTTTATTGCAGCTGGGAATGGACATGGAGCTGAAATTGATGTATTACCTCGCCCTGGTAGCGGTTGGAGTCAGCGTAATGCTCGAGTGGCATGGATGGAGGGGAGGGTGGAGAGATGGGTAGATATTAGATAATTATGCGTTTCTTTTTGCTTTGTTGTATCTGTTTTGTTGCTGCATTCTGGAATTTGAACTAGTTAAGGGTTTTGAGTCCGAATGGGGCAAGTAGCAGCTCTTCTAGCTCTCTATTATATATGATTTTGTAAGTAAATTTTCAGTGCGAACAAAAGACCAATCAGTAGAATAAATTTTCTCACAACCAAAGAGAGAGTGAGGGACAAGGGAAAGAGTCTTCCCGTGCAAGGGTGAATGCTCTTAACAACTGAACTATATATAATAGCCTTTTGCACCCATGATCTCATTTTAACTAGTGAATCATTAACATGAGACTGGTTGGCACATATAATTACGTATGTTCATCAAAGATGTGGAGAGGGGGTCATGTTGGCATGCGTTGTATGTGCTTCGCTTGTATCTATGAGGTTTGCAAGCAAAATATATTGGCTCATTACATGGAAGGATCGTTTAATAACAATTTGACACATGCATGAAAGCTTTTGTTATGTTCAAATTTCTTTTGTCAAATGTAAGGGAAAACTGCCAAACTGAAAACATTAAGCAATTCAAACTCCTCTAGGCTAAGATGATCTAGTTCAACAATTTTTGAATTTATTTGGGATGTTCTACTATAGGAATTCAGTTAATTAGACTTGCTTCTTCGTTAATTAATTCGTCTCAAAGAAACGAAAATGTGCTCGATCCAATAGTATTAGGTGTGGCAAATTTGAGTAAAAATTGTTATGTTGTTTTAGAGGAAAATAATTTAAGAGAGTGAGAGAATTCTATTCGAGAATTTCATAGTAGTGTGTTACAAATGTGAGATATAGTCACCTTTATACAGTGGTGCGGTTATTCTGAAAAATTACAAAAATACCCCTAATTCAATAGGGAGAATCAATTGACTAACATTACAAGAGTTATACCAATTAATGAACAGACGTAAATATCATGCGACTTATACCAATTAGTGGACGTACATAAATATCTTGCAACATATGTCAACTAAACTAGATTAATTAATTTTAATTTGTGGTACTCTTCTCTTCCACCTTTGGAATAAGAAACAATGAAATGTCTCATGTGCATCTGGTGAGAATTTAAATAACATTTATATTTATTTTATTCAGTAGTAACGTTGACGATATTACAATAATTTGTGTAATAACTGAAGATCTTCATGCCCAGCAAATCGGCACGAAGAAGAATATTATTCATAAATTAGATACACGTAGAACAAATTTGGTAACGTGTAGCAAATAAGATTACCAGTAATCAATGTTGATAATTCCTGCCACCGGGTTAGCAATTTTGGCGAAAGCCGGTTGAGAGAGGTCAAGTGTGGATTGACATCCAGGACAGTGATCAACGATCTTTACTCTAACCGTCGAGTTGGTGCATGGATGTGGAACTGGGTTTCGAGGTCCAGTGCATTTGACGTTATAAAACTTTCCACATCCAGCACCATTGTTCCATATCGCATCACCTGCAGCAGCGATCAAAATGCCTTGTGGTGCATTCCCGTAGCATGCTGAGGCTGTAAAAACAAAAAAGATATCCACCTTTGATCAATTTTCCTTAAAAATTATACCTATATACAGTTTATGAAAAGGACATTTCGTTAATTATATTTAGTTCCGTGTTATGTCATAATTTATGTACAATGTTTTCTTCGTCTCCAGAAGCTCAATATAGTGGTTTAAAGAAAAAAAAAGAGTGAGGAAGAAAGCAAACTTACGAATATAGCTTGAGTAGAAAGTAGCAATTCCTGGTGTGGCTACTGATGCCCAGATAAAGCTTGCAACAATGCATAACACAACTAAAATGTTCTTCGGCATTTGTTATTCTCTCTTGCGTTGTCAAAACTCAGATAAATATTATGACCTTATTCTTTTCAAAAGAGTTCAAGTGTAGTATAAAACGTTGGTATGGTCACATCCCTTTATATAATAAATTGTAAATTAATACAATACATGAATGCTAGGCATTTCTTCAATTGAACAATGCATTTGTACCAGAATTTTTATTGGAGGAGATGTACATATACCACAAGTTTTATAAGGACAAAAGTTTAAGTTATTCAAATTAATGTAATTCTATATTCTAGAAATACCATTTATTTACTTTTTAATAATATCCTTTATATTGGTTGCTTTCCATTTCAAGTTTTTTAGGCTTCAAACCTTTGAATGAGGATACTGATGATTTAGAAAGAAAAAAAAAATGAAGGAATTTTCTATTTTCAAAGTAAAGTGTTTAACCAATTTACATAAGTAAACTTTTAAATTTTGTAGAGAGACGAGTGATATGATATTATTAGTTACGAATTTTTATTTTCAATTGATGTGAAAACTAGAATCAATATCTAATCTAGCAAAAAATATTTAATTACCATAAAGAAGCCAGAGATGTTGGACCAAATAACCGATCACATATGAGCATATGAAAAATGTCACTCTCTCAAAATTTGAAAGTGGGTGTTACAAATCACCTTACGCGAATTAGACACCGATAAAGAAGCCAAAGATACAAAAAAAAACATATATGTTTAATAGGCCTTTAAAGAAATGGATTTAGAGTTCCGTACATTTGTTTTCATGTGTGAACGAGTGAGACTTAACTATAGGATTCCTTTACCTAGAGACTACCAATCGAAACCTAACAAGAGCCCATTTGAGAAATTAATCTAAGATCAGCCTTAGCCCAAATGAATATGTGAGGCTGAACGAAATGGGCCGAGTAATGTACGACGGTGTCATTATTGGATGTCGTACAGTTCCATCCTTGAAAAGTCGAAAATTTGGGTGGGGTTCTGTAAGTGGAGTGGGGTGGAGAGAGAGAAAAAGAGGGGAGGGGAAGGCACAAAGCAGCCACTTTGTTTTCATTGAGTCCAAGAGTTGGAAGTGTTGGTAGGTCTCTTGGTCTCCGTCTCAGAAGACTTGAACACACATAGTCTCCCTCTGCACTCGGATCACACAGAGAAGCAAGGAAGAATGTCAGGCGTCACGAACCAGGAGGAGGACAAGAAGCCCACCGATCAGTCCGCCCACATCAACCTCAAAGTCAAGGGCCAGGTCCCCTTTCCCACCACCCCCCCCCCTCTCTCTCCCTCTCTCTCTCTCTCTCTCTCTCTCTCTCTCTAGATTTTGTTTTAGTTTATGGAAATTATGTGTTAATCGTGATCAGAACATACCCTACAAAATTGGGGTTTTTTTTTGAATGTTTAATGAAGCATGTTTTGTTTTTCCTATGTTTGATTTTTTTTTTTTTTTTATGGTTGTGCCTGAAATTACTGTTCAATAAACCCTCAATTGACCTTATTTTCTCAATATTTTGGAGATTTTACTATGTGCGATTGTAAAGTTTGCTGACAATGGATACTTTGGTGCACGTTGTATGTGAATTATTGTTAATGCTGAAAATATATTGGTTTTGGTTATGTAGGATGGGAATGAAGTGTTTTTCAGGATCAAGAGAAGTACCCAACTGAAGAAGCTTATGAACGCTTACTGCGACAGACAGTCGGTGGAATTCAACTCTATTGCATTCCTGTTTGATGGCCGTCGTCTGAGAGCCGAGCAGACCCCTGATGAGGTTCGGTTCTTTATCTCTCCCGATATGTGAGCATGTGTGTGAATTTTTTGAGTTCTGACTGATTATTGTTCTTCTCCTGCAGTTGGAAATGGAAGATGGGGATGAAATAGATGCAATGCTGCATCAAACTGGAGGTTCTTTTGCCTAATCAATGAATATAGAAGGTTGTTTTCCTAGTAGGAGCTAAGTATATGTAGACTTTAAGCTATCGCGAAGGCTGATGTTTGAACTTTTAGTATCTATCAACACTAGTAGTCGTATTTAAGCTTTATTGCTAGATGTTTGTCAATACCTGGCAATTGTGTGTGTAATGAGTATGGTGGTATGGTTTCAAAGTATATGAGGTATGGCTTCTGCTTTACATTCTCTCTGTGTGGCCTGTTCTTTTTATTCTTAGCACTAATATCTGGCTGTTCTTCATGCGACTTGTATTTTTTTTCGTGTGTCCTGAATGGTGGTCTACACATTTGTGAATAATGGTTAAGGTTTGATCATGAGGGAGCAGATGGATGCATTTTGAGGTCTCTCTGTAACAAATCCTTGGCTGTCAATTGACTTGTCAAGATGAAATTGTTGCTCGACGTATCAATTGCTTGCTGAATCTTGAGGGTGATCGTCGTGGGGGAGTGGTGTTGGTTTTGGATACAATAGCATGAATCACATTAAAAATCAACAACATTGTGACACGAAAATGTGTCATCATTGACGTTGATCAAGTGTTATATGCATTAGGAACCAGTTTGTCCTGTCTAAGCTTCTCTGGTGGTCAGGTCATCTCAGGATGTTAGGGGTCTGTTGGGTTCCTAGGTTTGAAGTCGATTGGATAACTCATGAAGTTCAAGGTATGTTGAAGGTGGAGGTGATCAGACATGAAGGAAACAATTTATCTCATTTCTTTCTTCGACATTCCGTGAAGTACAAGGAGTTAGCCAATCCATTCGACTACCGGACACCAAACGAGCACTTAAATTTGAGTGTTTTTGTAGTTCTCTTGTTTAACTTACTGCATTTGCTTGGTATGTTTGACTTGTTTGACGTTTATCAAGAATTCGCGTTAAGGACTCAAAACACACTTTTTGTTCAACATCGAAATATATATGATCTTCCATCTCTGCAACTCTCTGTACCACGTCTACCAGCTTACGACCATCGATTCTTTCCAAAATTAAGGGGTTGAGAGTGGCTGCATCTAACTGGGTGGACGGACTGTGATGGTGACACCATTGAGACTAAATCTTGGTTGAGTTTGAATAGAACCACTTTGGGTGAAAATTTGATGTAGTGGAGACTCGTGTCAAATGACAATAAAAAACAAACATCTACATTAATATCAAAACAAAAAAAAAAAATGTTAAAAGAGGCAGACTGGCTCAAAGTCATCCCACTTATAAACACCCTGTTGTTTAAAAGCAACGTAGCCACATCGTGGAATGAGATCTAGTCATGATCGGAACTCACAGACTGACAGATGCAGAGCTTTCAAGAGAGAGATCTGAGCTTATCAAATTTTTTAGTCTTTGTGAAGTGAATCAATAGGATGGCTAAGAGCGCCGTAAGATTGAAATTGAGTGTTTCAGATTTCTTGATCCGTAAGTTCTAGATATAGAGATCCAGAGTGGATACAAATTTATTTCCGCACTCAACATAAATGTGTCCATCTATCAAAACAGAAAATAGAAAAATATGAATTTAATTGCACATTTCAATTAATACCCTCTTAAAATTATTCAATAATAAAAATTGTAGAATACGCTGGCTTTTCAAATTTAAAAATGCCCAGCCAACATCTTTATAAAACCAGATATCATTCCGTATACAGAAAGGCTATGCAGCTAAAATCTGGCCAAGAAAATATTTGGGGTTGTCTAATTTCTCCTAGCCGTTTGATCAACCTTACATGGGCCCACATAATTACTATTTGGAGCAAAATTATGCCAGATATTATTACCTGAATTTGGTCAAAAACATTGATTAGGGAAATCTGATTTCGCGTGGGAGCACTCGATATGTATTTAGTCAATTTCAAATCCAAAGTAAAGCTCAATTGGTCTGTTTTTTCTTCTTCAGGAATTTTTTTTACAGATAACGTGAAACTATTGATAGAAATGAGTTTCATCTTATAAGACGTAGTGTAATATGTGCTGCAGAATCGTCGACACATTCGTGGACACAACTATAACTTTTTTCATTTGACGAGTTTGTACATTTTTTTTCACGCCCAACCAAAATCTTGTAAATATAATGGCTTATAAATTGTAGTTATTTATTTACTCACCGCTTAGTGTAAATGTACCGTTGTATAAAAAAAATTGTGGTCATTTGCTGAGGGAACTTTAATGAAAAACTTCCGGTACTGTTCATTTAACGAAAAACCATATTTTTACACTAAAAAGACAATTCTGGTATTATTCACTTTACCTTTTATTTTGTTCTTATCCTTAAAAATTAAAGTTTTGAAATATTTTTCATTAGTTTTCGTATTTGCCAACTAAATTCTGGTATAACATGTCTAAATATTTTTGAATACTTTTACCATGGATTGTAGCCTTTTTGGGGTAATTTGTGATTAACCAATCAATGGGGGAATCCATTTATTAAGCTCGCGTGGTCTTGGCCCCACACTGACTGAGCAGGAGTATAACTATAAATAGGGGCCCGTGGGAGGGGTAGGAAGAGGAGAGTGAGAAACACAATAATATTACGGAGGACATGAAGCAAGGTATTGTCCAATGGGTTTCGCTACTCTCCATTTTCGCACTCTTTTCCTTGTCTCAGACTCAGTCCTTCGACTACGGCGAAGCTCTCTCCAAGAGTCTCCTCTACTTCGAGTCCCAACGTTCCGGCCGCTTGCCCCACAACCAACGGGTCACCTGGCGTCACCATTCCGGCCTTGACGATGGCCTAGAACAAGGGGTCAGTTATCCATTTTATCATCATAATTCATCAATCATATACATCGTGTTTGTAGCTCAGCTAGTTAGCATTCATTCGAGGTTCTGAATTTGATTATCCCGATATTGCTTGTATAAAAGAAAAAACATGAATCATAATTATGTATGCATGTGTTTGATGTGATGTATTTCGTCTGGCGTATTCACGTATGTTTTTCAGGTGGACTTGGTGGGAGGGTACTATGATGCAGGTGACAATGTGAAATTCGGTCTGCCAATGGCTTTTACCATAACAATGCTGTCTTGGGGTGTAATTGAGTACGGCAAACAAATAGAGGATGCTGGAGAGTACAAGCATGCCTTAGAAGCTATCAAATGGGGGACTGATTATTTCATCAAGGCTCATACTCACCCAAATGTTTTGTGGGCTGAGGTAATAGTAATAATGAAATAAAACAGTTGAAAAGTGTCAGTCTAACATGTTATTAAACTTTGATTTAAATGTGGTATAGATTCCTAGTTTGATAACATTGTCATATGATAATTTCTAATACGTTAAGACTGTCAATAGCTTGGGTCGGTCAATAAATTTACTATACGAGTCTATGATTGTTAGGTGGGAGATGGATCGACGGATCACTACTGTTGGCAAAGGCCGGAGGACATGACAACGTCTCGACAAGCCTACAAGGTCGATGAGAACCACCCCGGGTCAGATATTGCTGGTGAGACTGCGGCGGCAATGGCAGCGGCTGCTATTGTATTTAGGAAAACCAACCCACATTACTCTGGCCTACTTTTACACCATGCACAACAGGTAACATATTTAAATAGTCTGATGACGATATATATACAGAAATATATGCAAGGTTGATATACAACTATGCAAAGGTTGGTGTACTGGTTACCAAAGTACAATGGTTTTGGTTAAATAAATACGTACTCTTAAATCTTTGATATAAATTTATTCAATGTATTTAACATATAATTAATATGGGAATTGGATTTGTTGGCAGTTGTTTGAGTTTGGTGACAAATATAGAGGTAAATATGATGAGAGTATTGGAGTGGTGAAGGGGCACTACACATCTTGGAGTGGTTACATGGATGAGTTGCTCTGGGCAGCTTTGTGGTTGTACAAAGCCACACAGAATGAGGATTATTTGAACTATGCTTTGAACAATGGCCAGTCTCTTGGGGGCACTACTTGGGCCATCAAAGAGTTTAGCTGGGATGTTAAGTATGCTGGTGTTCAAATCATTGCTTCAATGGTACATAAACTCAAACTTGATCACCTGTCTAATTCTCTTTAATTTCCATCTCATTAGTAAATAGAACTATACTAGGTTAGGCGCGTAGTTGATTGTAGCCGATGGTGTATTTTGAGACCTACAATTTATCAACTATCATACTACATAGTTTCAAATCAAGTCATCGACCACACAATTAATGCATCACTGACTCAAGATTTGTTTGAACTTACTTGTTTACAAAATACTCCTGCTCATAAGTGCTTCTAGTGAAAGAACTTCTATTAGAAGCACATCAAAAATTTCATGAAATGTATGCGATTCATGAAGAAGCACTTGAAATGCATTATTAAAAAGATATAATAAAAACAAGTGCTTAATTGTTGAAAGCACTTCAAATGCCGCCTTTATTAACTCAAGAGCACTTTGAATTTTTTCCCCAAACATTATCAAAAGCGCTTTCAGTTATTTCAAAAGTCATTCCGAAGAGTCCCTCAAAGCTACCCACCGTTACGTTGACTGAACTTAACATCCTTCTCTAAGGATAATACTTGCATTCCCTTCTTGGGGAATGAGCTCATTCTTCCACTTATAAATAATGTATCTAGAGATTGACATGGTTCTGATTATGAAATTTTTAGGTTGAAAATACGTTATTTGCAAGTGTAGGAATGAGTTCATTCCTCCAGGAGGAATTCAAGCATTATTCTTTCTCTAAATTTAAGTAAACTTTTTTATTCACACCATACAACGCACAACATTCTAATACAACTAGTGTGTCTCAAATCTTTATTAGAACTCACCTCTAGCATCAGTCATGTGATTAACTGTCTGATTTGTAAATTAACAAATATTTAGTTTGTTTGTTTCAATTCCTTAACTCTCACATACGTTTTCTTTTTTCAGTTGCTAAAGGAAGAGAAACACAAGCAACACATGCAAATACTGCAACAGTATCGTTCAAAAGCAGAGTTTTACATGTGTGCTTGCCTTGACAGAAACAACGTAGCCAACGTGCAACGCACCCCAGGAGGCTTGCTGTATATCCGCCAATGGAACAACATGCAATACGTCTCAAACGCAGCGTTTCTACTCACAACATACACTGATTATCTCCAAGCCACTCATGAGAATCTTACTTGCGACAAAGGACAGGTGAGCCCACAAGAAATCTTATCTTTTGCCAAATCACAGGTTGATTACATTCTGGGGTCCAATCCAATGGCCATGAGCTACTTGGTTGGGTATGGACCAAAATACCCTCAAAGGGTGCACCACAGAGGAGCATCCATTGATTCGTATAAGAAGAACAAGGGTTTCATTGGGTGCACTCAGGGGTACGATAGCTGGTATGGGAAGCAGGGTCCAAACCCTAACGTGCTTGTTGGGGCACTGGTTGGTGGGCCCGATGGGAACGATGGATTCAGGGACGAGAGGTGGAATTACATGCAGACCGAGGCATGCACTTACAATACTGCAACATTAGTTGGGGTTCTTGCTAAATTGGATAGATTAAAAGATGATTATATGTGGCTTAATCAATCATTAATAGCTTCAAGCTAGCTAGTTAATAGGATGTGTATGTATGAAAATGTCTTTCAATTGGGCTTATAATTTTGATAAACAAATCACCATATATACAGTCCTAAATCAATGTATAATCATAGTACTAGGAAAAAATGTATAATTATTATGCAAAAGAAAGAAATACAATGAGGAATAAATTAATGAACTTTTATTTTGACAGAACAATTAAGTTGACCAATTTTCCTTTCTATCCACACTCTTACTTTTCTATTGATGAGTAATTTTGTGAACACATTTTAGTGGAACATGATGCTCTTCGGATTCAAACCATCTGAATTTTGCAAACCAAATAATCTCTTCACGTAAAATCGTGCGGATTGAGATCACTTCTTCCTCTTTACCTTTCTCACTATTTCTCTTTCTCCTCAACATCGTTGCCTTTTTCTCTGATAGTGATCGACGAAGCAGAACCGTAGAGAAAGAAAAGAAGTAGAAGAAAATGGGAGGGGTTGAAGGTCAGAAAAATATGTTGTGGGAATTGGTGTGGGAGAGGTAGGGGGAGGTGAGTGATGGTACGGAGGTCCATAGGATCCGTAGAGGTTATGTACCCCATTTTAGTCATTTACATGTGGCACTAATAGGATATTTACCACACATACAAAAGGGTTAAAAACACCTATAATACTTGCAAGAATGACAAGTATATTGTAGTATAAATGTTTCTAGCAAGGTCGTTTTCCACAAGGATTATTAAATAATTCGTATCAAACCAAATTTCAGTTAATTATTGTAAAGCAAAGATTTGTGATGATTGATTTTATGACCTAATTTAATAAAAACAAAATTAATAAATGAGAGTAAACAATTTGCAATATTAAAGATGAGGAAAAGGAAATAGTTTTTAGAAGTCAAATTGTGAAAGCACTAGGGTTTCGCCGTCACCTTATCAATCATATATAGTTCTCCCAATTACTTATGACCTATACATGCATATTTTGAAGGTTAGGTTTTCCTAATATATTCTTACTTGAACCCCCAATATAGAATGTATATCAAACATGCAATTTGTCTATTGCAGGGCCGGTCCAGAGATTTTTAAGGCCCGGTGCGACGCTAAAAACTGTGCCATCACTTCATATAAAAAAAATATTTGTTGTTACACATAAAATATCGATAAAATTATATTTAGAAAGCACTTCAAACTCAATAATTTAAAAATACGGAATAACAAATTTATTTTGTATTGAGAGAAGGAAACCAAAAAACTTCGGGTTTACAAGTAGATAGATTATGAGTTTTGTTTTCCATCTGAACTTTTAAAGTGCTTTTGTATAAATCATGAGGTATTTTTTCTTATTTACTAACCTCGTTAATATAAGACTTAAAATATAATAATATTTTCGAGTCTTTAAGGATATGTATAAGTAATGAATGAACACTAAATTAAACCTTTTTGATGACATGTAATATTATTCACAAATTTGGTTTAAAAAATTAGTCTACGCGTTATTCTTTGTTGAATATTAGACTTGAATTGGAATTGATGTTTAAAAATAGCAACCCACATAACTACTAGCTAGTAAATAAATTAACAACCAAACAAAAATTTGTAAAAAATTGAAAAAAATAAGCATACATGTAGCATTTCGAACTTAAAACCTCTCGTTAATTTTAAACAACAAAAATCATTGCTTATAATTAAACTTCTTGATCATTTAGCCAAATTTTATAAATTTATACTGTTATGAAAAGAAATTTTCTAAATATTGGAATCTAAATAAGCACACATGGTGTTTTGAACCTAAGACCTCCTCATTAATTTTAAACAACAAAACCACTAGTTCTAGTTAAATTTCTTTTTCATTAAACCAAATTTTATAAATTTATACTCTTATAAAAACATATATAATATACCATCCTAATAATTTTGGTGCCCCCATTTTTTTGGGCATTGGACGATCACCCTGCCCGCACTGGGCCTGAGCTAGGCCTAGTCTATTATATTCATATCAAATATAAACATATATGAGTCATTAAGTTCTGTGAAACCTTTTGAAAAACCATGTAACCCTTAAGACGTGGTATTCATCCTAAGTGAACTTGCACATATTAACCACAAGCAGCCTTCGTCAATTTCAGGGACCGACCTCCAACCAAAATTGCATCAAATTACTTTTATAAATATCCTAATGGTCACGAATCATCAAGACAATAGATAATTTAAACCGGTGATTAACAATTCAAAACTTGCATGCATAATATCATAAGCAAATTAAAAAAAAAAAAAAACTATTTATTTCTGTTAAGGCTTGTGGCTTCACCCTATCAAAAAGGAAATTAGTTACGCATATTCATAACTAAAATCAACATAAATTGTAATGAAATAATAAAATATCAAAAACATCTTGAATGTAAAAATCTGAAAATCTCTAAGCTTGGCCAATTTCCTCTCCCAATATTGCATGGAGAAGAAGAGAAAAATAGGGCCGGCCAAGATTATTTATCCTACTAAATTAAATCCTCCTAATAAAAGGTCTTCCATCAAGACTAGGAAACTAAATAAATTAAAATAAAATAGGAAACATAACCCTAAATTAAATAGTAAAATTCGCTCTAAATCTGCACAGCCACGTTTTGGACCCATATCTGCCCCATAACCGGCCCAATATAGCTAGATTTAAAGCTTGGAATATTTTGAACACTTCTCCAGAAGGCTACAAACCCATCAGAGGTCATCTCGGGCTCCAAAAATCACAATTAAGCACATAAACGTCACTTTCCTCCAACGTGCGCTTCTTTACTCCATTGCCAAAAAATAACTGTTTGGTAGAAAAATCCCAAATTTTGATACAAACACACCAAGGGAAACACGAACGTCCTCCAATTTGAATCACTCCAAAATTCGTCCGTTTGATCATGTTTTGCTCCAGGGGAAGTCGAATGTCCTATATTGAAAATACAAAGCAAAGTATCAAAATTCTATCAAAATAATTACCAAAACATACGAAGAATATAGTAAAATATATATTATTAAATTGACTCGTCAGATACCAAAAAGATTAATATAATAAATACTAATTAACTATCGCATCATAGGGTGAATGATAGATTAATCTAGCAAATGTGAAAAAAGAGAGTATAGATTATGATTTAGTGACAGATCCACCTTGAAGTCAACATGCCAACGACCGAAAAAATTGTTGGGAAGCACCTTTGATGACCCCTGTGTCATTTGGGTAGTAATCAATTCATGCACGTAAGGTGTTCGACAAATGCATGAGTGAGACATAATTTCGTCCGATCAAGATACAAAATTTGATCGGAGAAATTTGGTCAACGTTTAAGTTTTTGTCAAGGATTTTGCGTGATGAAATTCGAAGGGTAAAGTAAAGTTCTTCAGGCAAAGTAAGTTTGTCAGGGACGCATTGTATTGTGTCATCCTTTGCCCGACGAAAAACCAGTTCATCGGCCTTTGGAATGTTGCCCGATGAAAGATTTTGTCGGTTAAAGTGTTATGCGTGTCGGCAAAGTTCCATGATGACCTGTCAAAAAACCCACCGACACTTTTTTGCTTGACAGCGTTGTTATTCGTCAAGCAAAATCCAGTTCATTAAAACAGGCCATGCAGCCTTCTTTTTCTCTTTCTCCTTTCTTTCTTCTTCCCCCCTGCGCGCTGTTCTCCGTGCTCTGCAAATCTGCTCTCTCTCACACACATCTTACACGCTTCTCATACCATCCTCATCACCCATCTCTCACTCTCCCTCTCCCAATTAATTTAAGGTTTTTTTATTTGTTAAATACTTTTTGTTTAATTGTGTAATTAATTAAGTTTGATTTTTATAGGTTTGTGATTGAATTGGAAGAAAATTAAAGGAAACGTATGTATTTGTCTCTCAATTTAATTTTATAGGAAATTTTAATTTGTCTAATTGGGTTATATGTGTGTGTGTGTGTTGTTTGTTTTTTTTTGGGGGGGGGGGGGGGGGGGGGGTAGGGTTGGTTATGTGAAATTTTGGGTCTGTGTGTTATCGAAACATATGTACTTAGGTGAAACTAATTTGTGCACCATTAGCCTAGGAAATCGCGGTGTAAAATTTGTTGAAATTCATAATGGTTTATACGAAGTTTTGGACATGTGGTGAAAGATGCTCGCTATTTTATGCATACAATTCCCCAAACAAAGCTCGCCTACACCTGATGGAGGCAAACAAGGTTGCTCATAGACTAGCACAATTGGGTCTAGCTTTAGATCAACGATTTGGTTTGAGGAACCTTCTGACATAATCACATACCTTATTTTGGAGGATGGCATAAGTCTGTCATTTGTTGCGGAACACTCTTTTTCCTTTGATTGAGTTGAAATCTCTAGCAAGATTTTTATTGAGACCCACATAAATGCACCCTATCTTCCAACATATATGTATTCTTTTCGTCATATCAGTGAATATCCCACTTCATATAAACAAAACAGGAACTTGAATAGAATGTTTTTTTTAATAGTGGCATCAATCTTCTAAAACATTTCAGATAATGAATCTAAATCTTTGATAATGAACATCCATTAAGGGGGACGAATATTGAAGTTAGTTTTCATTGATAGTCGTCTTTCAAGCTCTAAATCTTTAAACCAACATTTTTTAGTAGGGTCGGCTTTAAGGGTGTGCAAGCAGGGATGTCAATTTAAACTGTTAAACCCAATACCCATGGATAATCGTTCGAATGAAACGGATTTGGGGATGAAAATTCAATTATATTTCGAATATGGGGAAAAACTGAAAATATTATTTGGTTATGATTATAGGGGTCCCCGATCCCTATAAATTATATTAATAAATATAGTATTGTATAATATAAATATGGGATATGATTAAGCAACAAATATTTTTACAAATACTTTTAGACTCTTTTTAAACCTTTTGATTACATGACATCCAAGGGTTCTTATTTATTCATTAAATGACATGGATGCTTATGTGGATTTTAACTAATATTAAAGATAAATAAAACTGAAAAACAAAAAAAAAACATAAAATCTGGAAAATTAAAAAAGGAAGATAATTTAACTGAAATTGGTTCTCCCATTCCCATTTCGATCAAGACCTAGATTCAAACCCTAATAAAAAAATTATGAAACTATTGTGGTGCAAAAGAAACCCTAAATAGATTTTTAACTAATATTAGTCGTGCAAAAGAAATCCCTCTCCAAAGCCTGGGTGTTGTCGAAGGCTTGCAACCCACATTTCAAGTGGCTCACCGTTACCGTCATGGAACTGTCGCTCTTCGATATGTTCTCAATTTTGTTCAATTCATATCCTCCGAATCGTCTTCTTGAATTTTGTAACATGGCTGCCATGGTGGTGGCACCCCGTGGTGGCAAAGTTACTCCTTTTGCCACAACGCTGAGTCTCATGGATCATTGTGGTGTAGCATCTCCATCATTTGATCTGGATCTTTGAACGTTGGAATTTCCGTTCATCGTGGTTTCCGAATTTCCACCATTGTATTTTTCTCCTACATATATTCAAAGAATTAAAAAATTCTAGTAACAAGAATGTACGGAAAATTTATGTATGAACGAGAAAAGAGAAACTTTGAATGCAAGAGTCTTCTTCGAGCATGTAAATCAAACTCTCAATGAAAGCACCAATTTGTGGATGCAAATTTTAGCCATCTTCTCTTTTTATGAAAAGGCACCTACAAAATAATCACACTTAAGATTAAGGTCAAAAGGCTCACACGCCCACGATGAATGGGGAGAGGGGTTTTGGCTGAGCTTTGGCCGAAGAATCTCTTATGCTAATGTTAGAATTCTGAAAAGAATGTATTTAGGAGTTTGTGGATAGCAAATGGCTTAACATTTTAGTGGGATAAAATGGTATTTACAAGAGAGTGGTCGGCCCTTTAGATGAAGAGTGGCCAACCATATTTATGACAGCCCGTCCCAAAATTGACGTTAGCGTACGTGTGAAATTACAACTTTGCCCCTAATTCGTTTCGTTATGTTTTTGGTTGCTTGGTGTGGTGTTGGCAAGTGCTGGGCCACGCACACACTCTCACTGTCTCTATCCCTTTTTCTGTCTCTTTCCCTGTCTCTCTCTCTCTCCCGAGCTCCCTTCTTTCTTCTTCTTCCTTCAAACTCGTACGGACACACACACAACTACACTAAATCATCACAGATCGAAGCAACTAAGGGCACAGTCGAGATCGTGAGGTCGAGGGGAGCACGATCATACCATTTTCAGGTAAGAAATCCGTTGTTTTCACGTCGATTCGACAATGGAAGATTTGTGTACTGTTCATGAAAACATTGATCTAGCACGTTTTTGGAATTTTGAAGTTCATAGATGTCTTAGTGAAGTTCCCAGGAGCCTCAGAGTGCTTCGTTGGAAGAAATTGGACGTCGGAATCGCCTGGTTCGAGCTTGACCGGTTTTGGAGGTTGGTGACAGGTGAGTTTTCGTAGGTTTTAGCCCTTAAAACTTGTTTGGACGTGTTCTACTAGTTTAGGGCTTCATTTTGGTGCAAGAATCTTGAAAAACGGTTGAAAAATGAACGAGAAAACTCAAGTTGCAGGTTTTCCCAGTTTCCGGCGCCGGCGACGTCGCCGGAGAAGGTGACGGAATATTCCTGACGCCGTTAACGGAATCTGTCAGTTTTGACGGAATATTCCTAACGGCGTCAGTTGACGCCATCCGTGTGCACCGCACGTGCCTACGCGTGGCCGGCGCGTGGCGGCGAGTATGGCGGTGGAAAATTTTTCTAAAAATATGGTTGTGATCCTGAGGTTGTGTAGAGCACGTTGGTATATTCAATTGTCCATTTTGAGCAATGTATGAGAAGTTATTTTGAACGGAAGGTTATGTGCTTTAAAATTAACGTTTTTATAGTATTTTCGCATATAGGTGATACGTATCCCGAGGACGAACGTGCTCACTCGAGGCAGGTGGCTACGACCCTTCCACATACCAGTGAGTGGGCTTTTGTTTTCCGTATATACCTATATACATATAATTCCCAGAAATTTATATAAATGCTTATTCGTTATATGCCGTTCCTTTTATATTACTAGTGGTTATGCATGATTAGTTGCATATACGTTTATTTATATATTCAATTATATGTATATATATGTATATAATGGTGTTGTGGAGGCACAGGTAAGTGCCAGGTAAGCGTTATTTAACAATTGCATTAAATAGTGGTTAGAGGTGCTTAGAGAGCTCATAACCTGCACCCCCGGTGTTAGTGCTCCCGCCCAGAGTAGGGCACAGTCCTTCACGTGTTATTCACCTCCCGCACCACACGCTCAGCTTAGATCCAAGTTAGGTGCACAGTCTTGTCGTACAGACCACTTTAGGTGGTTCCGACTTGTAGGTGACCCGCGATTATTCGCACAGCCTTCACGTGATCGTAGCACTAGAGTGTTTATATGTATTACACCCAGGCCTGTCGTACAGACCACTATAGGTGGTTCTGACTCGTGGGCAGGTTTAGTGATTGAGATTGAGATTTGAGCTCTAAATTCAGCCGTACAGGTCACTTAGGGGACTCCGGCTGCCAGTGATATGTTATTGACACGATTTATACCTGAGCACTTGCATTTCAACATGAAATTTGGTATGGCATATCCTTGAGCATGATTGGCATATTTATTGTATACGTACATATGTTTATTTTCTGAGAAGTATACAGGTTTTACGGCGAGGGGTTAGAATGTGTTTTACTAAATGGTTTTCAAAGAGCTTTGTTTTTGCCCACTCACGCTTTTGTTTTGCGCCCCTCCAGCTTCTAGTTGCTTAGCTGGTTCGGTGGTTTCCCAGAGGGCTTCCAGGCATTTCTAACAGACACTCACCAGTGTAGGGTCACCTTCGGGTGTACTATTGTCGTATCATTTCATTTGGACTGCTGTAGACTTATTGCTCTGAACTTAGCGTCTCACTTACGCTAGCACACTTACTTTGACCTTGTATGCTAGTTTTTAATTACTCGTACTTTTATATTATTACTTTACTAGCTTCCGCACTGTGCACATGGCTACGTCACTTCCACGTGACGGCCAACACGCCCTGATCTCGGTCGGGGTGTGTCAATATTTGGTGGTAATAGGTGAATAATTACAATATATTATTTGAAATAATATCTTGCAACTAACATAGTAATTATTCCTAATTAATTTAAATAGGAAGGTTTGGGAGTTACCTTTTGAATAAAATCAATAAGGAATTGATAAGGAATGATTGATCACCTTTGACTCTTCCTTGATTGAGCCGTTATTAATTGTTGCATGCACGTGAGAATTTTGATGTGCCTCGAGGATAATCTTGTCATTATTGTCCGAAAATCCATGTTTCATCTTCTGAAATTATTTTTGACTCCACACCATGCTTAAAAACATGTTTTATTTTTTTATTTTTTTATTTTTTTTATTTTCTATTTTTATCAAAGCATAGTACTCATATTTTACAAAATTGTAATTATTGCTCCAACATTATTCTCTTTGACAATTATTATGTCACATTAAAAACATATAATTTTTAACCATTTCACACATTCACAACAATTTATATAAAATTTTATCAAACATTCAGACACTATTTTTTTTTTTGTTATAAACACTTTTACCAAAAAAAAAAAATTACCAAACACTCAACAACTTTATTTTACAGCAATTTATTCTCATATCACAGTAGAAACAATTTTTTTAAAAAAAACACAGTAATATCAAACTAACCATAAATTAGACCCAAAAAAAATGTTTTAGTCGTCATGTGGCCTCCTTCTGTAGTCAGCCCCGGGCTCATGTTCCTTGTACCTGTTCTTGACAGATTCAACGTTAGAGTCACCCAAGATAGCTTCCTCTGTCCCATCGTATGCCTTGTCCGCTGTCTGGCTGGCCACACCTTGCTCCGCCACCTTCAGCTTCTCCACTGCCTTCCGCTTCTCCTCCGCCACTCTCTTGAACTCCTCAGCCGTAGAAGGTGCTCTCTCTTCTATACCTGCGTGGCCGTGGTGGTGCTCTCCCTTGCTCCCTTGGCTCTTATATCTCTTCATTGAAATTTCAGATAGCATAGCAATCAAGTCCGAATTCCAACATTGATCAAAGAAAGAGTTCCATTTCCAACTGATTCACTCAATCATAGTACAAATATCACGACCAAATCAATGTTATCAAATTCGGATTCGTACGTTATTTTTTCTCTTAATTCGAATTGTATCGTTAATTTATGTTTGAATTTGGGACATAGTACAATAAACTAGAGAATATTGAAATACTACAAGTGATTTTCACATTTCTCCGCATACTTTCTAAAATAAAATCATAAGATTGAATAAATTAGAGAAAAATCAATTATCATACAATTAATTATTTACTTGACCTAAAACATATATATGGATCAATCATTCATTATTTATGAACCAAATTAGTGATGAAACTATAACCTACCTGGTTGGTTGTGTAATGACATGCAGCTAATGACTTCAAAATTGTGGACCTTGACCTTGAAGAGAAAGCGCGGAGAAGAAAAATATGCCCTCCCATGTTGAACTTGAACACACTAATAATATAAGTAGCTTAATTTGATATCTTGATTCGGATTGCAATAAAAAGAGAAGGAATGGAAGTGCCAAATTAGATTTGTGTTGGCATATATATGATATATATATATATATATATATATATATATATATATATGATATATATGATATATGGATGAAGGTGCTGAGGTAAATGGCATTACACGCGTCTTCTGTTCTGAGCAATGTGGGTGCTATAGAAGCGTGGTCCTGTGTAAGTTTGCCATGTCATTCGAAGCATGCAAACGTTTTGTACATATTTTGTTTCCCTTTGGATGTGTACATTTTTGGTCTATCTGTTGGAAAGTGATATAGGATAACAATACATTACCCTATGTTGTATTTAAAGAGATCTCTTGTGAATAAGCTTTTAGCTGTTTAGTGGTTGCTTAGTTTTATTTGTTTCTGTGCATTATGTGTTGTAGGGCCTTAAGTATGTCATGCTATTGTTTTTTGTTTAATTGAGTTACGCGAACTCAAAAGAGCCCATTATTTGCAATCACGTTAATTTTTAAGATTTTTTCAAGTGAATTTAATTTATGATGATTTGAAGTGAATTTAATTTATGATTGTATTAAGCTATAAAATGAAAAGTTTTCCCTTTGTTCAATTTCACGTTTTTGCTCACGTTTTAATCTCTCTTCCTTGCGTTGCCTCTCACGCATAAACCTCTCTTTTCTTTTCGTCTATAAACAGAAAAATCAAAATATCAGCATATTAATTGCTATGCTTCAGAAACAATTGTTTAGGACTTAAAAATAGAACCTTTCTCCTCAGAATTTCTTGTTTCTCGAGCTCCTTGTGGATCCGCAACTCATGAGCTTCAACTGCTTTAGTGATTCTCGCTTCTTCACTCTACAAGGTGCAACTGGTTAAGTCTTTGGTTGAGAAAATATACTATTATACTAAAGTTAACCGAACAAGTATGCCTTGCGTTTGCTCTCAATTCTCAGGATAGAGTCATTAATTTGGCCTTCAGATAATACGTTAGAGTTTTCTAGTGCAGGTGCAACAACAGGGGGATCACTAAACTGAGTATTTACCCTCACGTTAGAGAAGGAGTCCCTTTGTGCTACACTGCCATCATCAACAGGAGATCAAAATTTTCAATAAGTTGGGTATTTACCAAACTGAGTATTTATCCTCAATCATATATGCATGATAAGAACAAAAAAGATCAAATTTTTCAATATATTGGGTAATATTAACCAAAATTTCAATACAATCATATATAAAAAATAAAAAAAAAATGGATGAATAACATAGAGGTTTTTAAATCACCTAAGTGTGATCAGGCGGCTATAGAGGTCTGTAAGTGAGGAAGAAGGGAAGGCAGCTTTGGAGCTTTTGACTTGTGTCAGAACACTGGAAAGAAAGACAAAAAGGGATATTTTTGTGTTGACTTTGCGCGACGTAGTGAACCTGCGTCGCGTAAAGTTGGAAAAAAACGGTAAAACATTCTTGGTTTGGAGCCAAAATTTTGTGCGCCGATAAACACAAAACATCATGCAAGTGGTATTTGCGCGACGAAGCAAGGTGTCGCACAAAACTATTTTGCGCAACGTAGGTGTACCTTCGTCGCTGATGAGTATATTTTATATTATATATTTTACCCTATTCTTAGTATATTTTCGTTAATAATTTAGAAAATTTTTGATACTTTGAATTGTATTTCTGATATAGGATTTTCGACTTCTTCTGGAGCAAAACATGGTCAAATGGACGAATTTTGAAGTAATTCCAATTGGAAGACGTTCGTGATCACTTACCTTGATCGTGTCAAAATATCAGATTTTTCGACCAAGCGATTATTTTCTGTCAATAAAATAACGGAGCAATGTGCAGTGCTGAAATAGTGACGTTTTGGGCTTGAATTGCGTTTTTGGAGCCCAAGATGACCTCGGATGGGGTTCATGGCCTTCTGGAGATGTGTTCAGAACGTCCTAATCCTTAAAACAAGCTATTATGGGTTGGATTTGGATGAGATTTGAAGTTAAAACGTGGCTGGACAAGTACTTGGAAGATTCTCCTAATTTAATTAGGGTCTTATTTTCTAAGATATTTTATTATTATTTAGTTTCCTAGTTGGAATAAGAGACCTATGTTTTAGGGTTTGTGTGAGGGCTCAGAAAACATATTGCTTGGCCATTCTTAATCTTGGGAACGCTTTCTTTTATGCAACTTTGGAGTCAGAGAGTAATTGCTAGGGTTCTTGGAGCTTTTCTACTTTAAGGTGTTTTCATTCCTTTTATTTTTTATTAATATTTTCTATGATTTCAATTATGAATATGCGCAACTAATTCCTTTTGCTAGGGCAAAGCCTTGAGCCTTAGCATGAATATGTAATTTTTATTCAATTGCTTATGATTGTTTGCATGTGCACTTTGAATTACTAATCACCGTGATTAAAACTATCTAATTGTCTTAATGCCTAATCACCATTAGGATCCTTAGAAAAGTAATTTGATGCAGTTTTGGTCGGAAGGTTCCCTGAAATTGACGCTGGCTTCTTGTGATTAATAATTGTAATTTCACTTAAGATGAACATCACATCTTAAGGGTTGCATAGTTTTTCAAAGGGTTTTCATAAAGTATAATGAGTCTTTCATGTTCAGATTTGATCCGAACGTCCGGACGGGTTGTATGTTAGATATACATTCTATGTTGGAAGTTCCAAGTATAATATAAATTAGGAAAACCTAACCTTCAAAGTGGCATGTGTAGATCATAAGTAATTGGTAAAAATACATAGGATTGCTAGGTGATGGTGGAACCCTAGTGCGTTCTTAATTTGATTTTTCCAAAACAGTTTTCTTTCCCCTTCATCTTTAATATTGCATATTAGTTTATTTTTATTAATTAAATTCGTTTTAATTTGAGTAGATTATAAAACCAATCATCTCAATTTTCTGTTTTACAATAATTAATTGGAATTTGGTTTGTTTCAAATTATTTAATAATCCCTGTGGAGAACGACCTTGCGAGAACCGTTTATACTACAACAACCTTGTCATTCTAGCAAGTAATATAGGAGTTTTTAACCCATTTGCGTGTGTGGTAAAATCCTTATCAGTCGAGCAAAACAGTTTTACGCGACGCTCTCCTTCGTCGCGCAAATACCACTTGCGCAACATCTTGTGTTTATCGTCACACAAACATAGATGGATGATCAATAAAAAGCTTAAGAAATCTATTTACAGAATCATGTGTGCAAATTGAAGAAATCAAGAACTTCTTTGATCGTTTATGTCGATATAATTTTTAACAAAGAGGTGCACTACAAACATGTTTGTCTTTCAAATTTGAGATGAATGATCTCAGTCTTAAAAGTATTTTTTGGAGATTGAGTTGTTAAGAATCCCAAAGCATTTTCTTGTCTCAGTGAAAGTATATGATGGAGTTATTGACATGGATTGAGATGCTTGCTTGTAAACATACTAACACATCTATTGAGATAAATCACAAGTTACATGAGTAGGAATAGTACTAGCTAGCTTGTTGTTGGAAGGCTAATATATATACTTGGCTCCCACCAGACCAGATATTGCCTATAGTAAGTGTGGTAGCAAAAATCAATTGTCTTCAGTTTTGACGAATTTGTATTAACAAAATAACAAACACCTTTGATCAAGGCCAAAGCCTCACACGCTCATAAAGTTTCGCGCGCCGGGGGGGTGGGGGTGGGGATGGAGGTTTGGCCAATGGATCTCCGATTCCTAAGTCAGTTTCTCTAAAAAGAGAAAGAGTTTAGGGCTTCTATTACGTAACAAAAGTTTACCATAAACAGATGAGGTATTTATAAGGAGGTGGCCAGAGGGAGAGGGTTAGGATTTTGCCTACACATGGTGGCTTCCCACTGGCCAAGTTGTGTCATTCGTAAGATGGATAAGGAAAGAATTATCCCAATATATTTATTATGAGATAGTATCTTGGGATTATTTGGTAAGCATCATTGATTGTGGTGAGTATTCCTTACTTGTTTGAGTTGATCTTCAATCAAGAATGTATTAAAGATAGTTTTGATGATTAATCATATCTTTAATGCCTTTGACTTTTCCATGCCACTAATAGGGGAGCTTGGTGTAGTCATAATTAGCTACTCGAGCCTCCAGATATTGAGTTGCGTGTGAGAATATTTGTGTGTCCTGTCCATTTAATAAGGGCAATTTTGTCTTCTTCAGACAAAGGTCTACGTGTCGTTTATTGAACTTTTGATTTTTTTTTTTTTTAACTCCACAGTCGTTAGTTAATTCATACATACTCCTAATACTAAACATAATAGTGTTATTGATGATTTTTGAGATACTTAATTTCCGCATCGTGTAAACGACTTGTGTATTTAAAGCATGCTCACTTAGATGTTTTTGGATATAGGAATGCAGATTGGGCATGCTCAATCATTGACAGGTGTTCAACTTCAGGTTAATTCACATTTGTAATTAGAGGCAATCTTGTTATCTAGTGAAGCAAGAAGCAAAAGATTGTTGATAGATAAAGCATTGAGGCTAAGCTTTAAGGTATGCACGTGACATTTGCGGTTTGTATGGATTTGGAATTGACTTTCAGTTGGGATTTATACCTCAAAAGCTTACGCAGTTGAATTGTGGTAACAAGGTTGTGATTTACATTGTTCACAATTTAGTTCAACATGATTGATCGGCCTAAACATGTTAAAGTAAAGAGACATTTTATCAAAAAATAAATTGGAAGCTAATTAATTTGTTCGCTGTTTGCTCTGTGAGGATCAACTGGCAGATATTGTTACAAAGTTGTGTCTAGCAAAGTTTATCATACTCACTCTATAAGTTGGACTTTGATGGTATTTATGCACTATTTTGAGAGAGAGTATTAACTTACGTGAGCCTAACCCAATTGAGTTTAATTAACTTATTACTAGCCTAAGCCCATACATTTTACGTGTAAATATGTTTTTTTATTTTGGAAAATATATGGGAGAGAGAGAAGTTGGAGAGAAATGTGGGGGAGTGAGAGAAAACGTTGGAGTGAAGAGAGATTTATATTTTTATTTTATTTTTCAAAATTATAAATAT